ACTTTGGCCAGTGTGCTGTGGAAGAGCTAAGTTGCGCTACTCAGGGGTCACTTTGGCCAGTGTGCTGTGGAAGAGCTAAGTTGGGCTACCGGGCGTACTGAAGTCCAAAGTTCTAAAAATCTAACAACCCCACAGTCCTACGGGTGGGGAAAAAAAAACATATATATATATACATACATACATATCTATTGTGAGTCTGAATATTCTATATATATATATATAATATTGTGAGTGAGAACGCCAATCCACCCCTTCAAATGCTAGCTTTCCGCCTGGGCTCAGCTTCAACAATTTGAACCGTACAACAGGAGTCTAGAAGTGTAAATGTATGTATTACTATAAGACTATATTATATTGCTTATTTTATAGTAATGTGTTAATTGTACATTCAATTCTATAGTTATTGGAACCGTACTATACAAACAAGAATTGTTGCATAAAAAGATGCTGCATCTGTTGGTCTCTGACTGGTCTAAGACCAAGAAACTGGCCAGGGGGCCTGACTCCGGTCACCTCTGGCTTGACAAAGGATGCAGGCAGGCAGACTGTTAACCGAGAAAAGCCTAAAGCACCTTCAGCCTCCCCTCAAGCTTTGGGATCTTGTTCTGGAAGATTGTGGAGTCACCAGCAAAAGCAAACTGAAGCCAGTGCCGGAGGTGAACACCTGCGATGTTCCTTCTCTCTCCCTCTTGCTTGACCCGCTTGAGAGAACACCTCAAGCATCAGCCGGCTGATATATGACGTGCTTTCTCGCAGAAGAAAACGTTTCCTGATTAGTAGCAGTGAGGGATAGCTCCGAAAGCCTATCGGCCTTTCGAAGGCATGCTTTGGCTTCCACGGCCCATGATAGTTCACTTCCATTGAGCCTTCCAAGATGTTTGCCGAGACCATCATAAACCTCAACCCTCTTCGTGAAACAACGGAAACCATGAACATCGCAGCAGCCAACAACACCTGAACAAAGCCCGGCATGTGCTTTCAACAGCTGCGACAGCCCCTGCCGTGGTCTTGAAGCAAGCTCGTGGAAATTGAAAGGCATCTCCGTGCAGCAAGCACGATATTCTCGTTCAGCGGTATTGAACGGCCTTCCCGTTCTGCTTCACAAATGCCGAAATGATATTATATTTATAACTGTGCATTGTGAAGCTCACAAGCTTACCAATCAGATGTCTCGCATGACGACCTTTTGATCGAACCTACCGA